TTTTTTTTTTTAAAAAAAAATTTATATTTAATGTAATTGTTACTAGTGATACATATCTTCAAATTTCTTTTGACAAATCTTTTTTTAACTTAGATCAGTTTTCAATTTTATTAATTTTGTATCGAAATAAAATACAAAAATAAATCCGTGAAACATATCCATATTATTATATATAATATGAGATAATGTATAGTACATATAAAAGGAAAGTCTTATTCTTATAATTGAATATCTTCCTTTTTTAAAAATATAATAAGTACAAATTAATGTTAATGGATAATTTATCTCAGCTAAATACAATATTATTTTTTAAAACTGTTGGTGAAACGACTGTTGACTGGACTATCATGTATCACTTAATTTTTATTATTCACCATAAACATAAGTGTATACTGAGACAACGTAATTTACCAATCTTATCCGGATATCAATTAATGGACACATAAATTCACTTAAATTATTAGTACATGTAAGATTGTAAGACGCGTCAAAGTGAAATTTTGCTGCGGTCTGTTTGATCACTAATGATCGAATCTACAATAAGCTAGTAACCAAAATATATTTTTATCAAACACTCATTATCACTTTTAATTCATCGGGTAATGTATTTACTGATAATTTGGATATGCGCCATGAGTTAGAAAAAGTCAAAAAGGCGGATCCTTATATAAAGATATTTCGTGCTCATAATCAACTGTAAGCGTAAATAAACTAACGAATGAAAATATTAAATCACATATCTCCATTGTTGTCTGAATCTGTTTGAAATTATTTCTTCGAACGAATTATTTAAGCCTTCTTTTTATCGCATAGTCGACATGACAAATATTTTCTTCATCAATTGTGATGTGATCATCAAACCCTCAAGAAGATTTAATGCCATGTGCAAGATTGTAGAAATTTACTCCCAGTGTATGTTTCTACAATTGGTTTCATATTTTTTATCCTACTTGTTAACTTGAGGAAGGTACGGTCATTAAAATTATTTTCTAAAATTCTGATCGAGTCATCTCTTAGATCTTGACTTCGCGATAAGTTTTGCTATATCATATTTTTTAATTTCGTCCGCTAACGTAAGACACCGTAACAGTGAAACATGTGCATTACTGAAAAAAAATGTTACTGTTACTTGAAAAGAACTATTTTACAGATAAAACACTATACTATAAGGGTAATTATTCGGTCGCATAACTGTCTGGTGATTAACTACATTGCGTCATTGCACATAACTTCCTGAGGAATAACATTTTGTCTTGACAATGGTAAAATCAGTTTTCTCTATCATATGTGTGCTATATTTATCTCGATTAAGAGCTGCATTTACCGTTTAGCACTGCATAAAATATCCCGGGTATTTTACAAAATACTTGATTTAAAAATTGAATAATACACACGGGCATTTCATGAGAGGCCGGGTATTATATAAGGGGTACGGTATAAATTTGACCAGAATTAACATAACGACAAAAATGAAGGTACAACAACATGCAATAATCACTCTAAAATAAAGTAATAAAACAAACATTCCAAAGTTGGACCCAATCCCACGCGTGAGACCGCCCGCCTAATACAAGCCGTGAACTATCCAGTTCTATTAGAAATATTAACAAAGAGTAGCAAAAATCCTGTTATGAGTATCACAATAATTACAATCCCTCCCGTATTGATCTTTCATTTTTTAAACAAATGCCGTCTGTAAATACTGTCATAGACGAAATGATAATTTTAATTGAAGACTATGGTATTGTTCTAGTGAAACTGAAGGTGGTCTATTCATGGAGGGGAGAAGGGAGGTGGTAAGCACTCGTCGCTAATAATTGTAGTTTCGAATGTTTGTGGTTATTGTCAGGAGAATCCTCGTCACTCGTAGGCGGAGAGCGCGTGATGAAAACATCCTGGCGGGAAAGGAATATGGCGTCTTTTCTCTTGAGATGGTATTCGTATCTAGATCGCATGGCGGAATAGACAGTGCGTGAATACATTGATGCTAGAAATGCTAGAAAAAGATAGAGTATTCGTAAAATCATTGTGTGATGACGAATTAGATGGTGTGATTGTATATAGAGGGTATGTATTGGGTGATGTTGATGTAGAAAGTGTGTGGGCTCGGCCATTATGACGTCATCGATGTCATCGGCCGGTGGTTCGTTTCTGATTGGCGTCGCGGTATGCGGCCTTCTTTGTTTAATGTATTCCGGATCTTTATTCCGGTCTTCTGCTTCTTTTTGCCGTTGTATGCTTTGCAAACGCATCTCGTCTTTAATACGAGCAAGCTTCAATTTACATCTGCGTCGATTTTTTTTCGTTTTTTCGCCAATTTCTGCTCCAGCGATAATCGATTTCTCAGAATCGGACGAGTGAGAGAACTATTAGGATCCGGTGGCGTTTGATATATTTTTGACATCTGTCGCATCCAGGTGGAATCGAGAAATACAGTACGGTTCCATCTGGAAATTTGTGCTTGTGATCTGACTATGTCAAATCTGTAGTTTTTGCATCTTTGTAGAAGTTGTACGGTTGTTTTAGGGCGGTCAAATTTCGATAGAGTTTGATCGTATTGGGAATGACGAATAGGTAGGAGGCCTACAGTTGCGTTTAATACATGTTTGGCATGATGGTTACAACGCCAACGACTATTTGAAAGTACAAAAGCATAAGGGAGGTATTAATCAAGAATAAAATTTTTTTATCTAGTAGGATACCAGATCCTTTTTAAAGTGGGTACGCCCAAAGGGGTATTTATGCAGTGTAGACAGTACCGACTATTATTTCTCGTTTATCCCGATTCAGATGTACTGATTCTTATTTAATGTATTACAATATAAAGAGAGGATAACAGGTAATATATAATTTATTTTTAATCGCAAAATGTATTTTAATGAATACTTACAATATTTTGTAATGCGAAAAAAGTTATCATTTGCAAAATTTTCAAATATATAAGATACTCTTAATAAAAATAAATAATTTTGAAATTTCCAATAATTAAGACTTTTTTTATAGAAGTCAACAGTCATTAAAAGTTTCGGCGGTGGATATGGTGGATATACCACTGATATACCGGTTCAGATTAGGAAGTTTCGGTGGAAATGATCGAGGTTCTTTAATAGATCCTATGTAAGTGGATACTACAGAAATCCCAAGTCTGAAGGATTCTATGAAAGTATTGCGTCAAGAAAGTACTTGCAGAAGTTCTACGATGGAAATACTTACGGTATTTCTCTTATACGCCTGAGATCTTCTGGAGGTTTTGCGTCAGTAGTTCCAATACATCAGGTGGTCTTACATCAAGTAGTTCTAATATATCCAGAGATCTTACATTAGGTAATTCTTTTACATTGGGATCTGCTAGGAATTTTACATCAAATAGTTCTTTTTGCATGAGGATCTTCTGGAGATTTTATGGGTCTCTAAGTAAACCATATAATTGTATATTTTCACATTTTACATTTTACTTATTTTACTTTTAATATCAATACGATTAAATATTTTGTATAATAATAAGATTTGAGATTATCATAGTAATTTATCACTTATACTTTTTTTAGTCTCTTCGAAATATTAGTATATTCGTTCCAATTTCAACATAGATTTGACAAAAAGGATCATTTATTATAGCTTTATCACATTTCATAATGCTGAGAATGATATCGTATATCAATAGGTGTACTAGCTAATATATTAAGCATATGATCGATTACATGTGATATTTCCAAGGATTTTTCCACAGTATTATACTTATTATCCTTTTCCTGGTTCTTTTTTGGGGAAAGAACTTTTTGTTTATCATCACATTATATGATGCATCAAAAATTCATACTTAGTCTAAGTTATGTCAATTTATGCAATATAAATATTAACCAATTAAAATAGTATTAAATCATATGATTTCTTTGCTAATTCTTTATCTTTTAAAATTATATTACTCTTATTTATATAATTTATTTATAACAATATGTAAATTTAATTATTTAAAAAATTTATATTTTATATAATTTAAATTATAAAATATGAATATTAATGGAAATTAATTTAATTATTAATAATTAAATTTATTAATTTTATATTATATAAATCTAAATTATAATATATTAAAAAAAAAATATATTTTAAATTTTTTCATATGAATAATTAGATGTTATTTCTTCTACAGATCTCCATAAAATACGTCGAAAACCAATTACTAATACAACAAATCCTCTTAATTTATTAGGATTTGATTTAGTTATTTTAATTCTTTTATCAAATATTCCTGAACTATAATAATCAATTGGTTTTCCTTTTGAAATAATATTCATATATGATTTTAATTGATTAATTCCATTATTTAATACTTCTTCTATAGTTATTTTTTTAGTTTCATTATATTCTTTTGACCAATATTCATATGATCTTTTTAGTAGAATTGTTTCATCTTCTTTTTCGATAATTTTATCTAAATTTTCTAAATCATTTGTATTAAACTTTTTTTTTTGATTTTTAATTAATCCAATTAATGAAATATACTTTAATTCCAAACTAATATTATTATTTCCTATTCCTTTTAAGATAAAAATATCTGAATATCCAAATCGACCAAATCCTTTTAATTTTGTACCATCCATTACTAGTGATAATTCAGGAATACAATATTTTAATGGTAAAAGGTTTTCAACAATTGCTTGAAGAACAGATTCATCAGCAGAAGATAATGATATCTGTGATCTCGTTAATAAGAATGTTTTTAAAAGTTCAATAAAAGGTATAATATTATCAGCAACAAGATTTTCATATGCTGAAATAATAAGAAGAGCATCATTCACAACTTGTCCATATACTAACTTATCTCTGTTTTGTTCTAAAATTTTAATTTGTTTTGTTACAAGTTCTAGTAAATAAATAAATAATTACAAAAAAATTAATGAATAAATGAATAATAAAAATAAAAAAATATTATTATTATAATTACCAAAAGATAAATCAGTATCATTATCTCGTGTTCTTTTTAAGTTCTCTTTTTGTTTAACTTGAATACCAATTTTTTCAGTCCAGATCTTATTAAAAGTTGATTCTAATTCTTCTCCTAAAATATGCATTTCACTTCCTATATCATTATATATATAACAATTACGAAATATAAGACGAATATCATTCTCAAATTCTTCAATACTTGCATATTGATTATTTTTTAATTTTGAAATTATTGTAAATAAATCCATAGGATTTTTTATAAATTTATTCGAAATTTTCTCTTCATTATATTCATAAAATGGATGAATATTAGATTTAATATCAAGTTCCTGAAGAATATCATAACAGAAATTGATAAGTTGAGAATTTTTAGAATGATTTTCAGTAGAAATAGAATGATCTTTAGTAAAAATGAAATGATCTTTAGTAGTAGAAATAGAATGATCCTTAATAGGAATTTCAATGTTTTCTTTTGAATGAGACGAATTAGAAGAATGAGATGAATTAAAAATGGATTGATTTTCAATAGGAATAAAATGATTTTTATCAGAATTCTCAATGATATTTTGTGAATGTGAAGAATTAGCAGGTACTAAATTTTCTTTTTCAGCAGAATGAGCAGATATTGAATTTTTTTCATATTTCTTAATAATTTTTTGCCAGAATATTTTTAATGTTTTTGCATAACGTAATCGTTCTGCAGTCACCTGTTATAAGAAAGACATTGTTAGTAGTGTGTTTAAATTTTATTTAGGATAGAAGAAGGTACATAGCCAATTCCTCCTCCAGAATTAGCAGACTTATATCAACAACAGAAGTTAGGACACCTGAATTGAGAAACTTGGAGTGGTTACCAAGGTTGTCGAACCCAGTAAATTCCCTAAGGTAAGCGTAGTTGCTTAGGGGTTACCCTAACTTATGCAAAATAAAAAAAAAACACACCTTATTTTTTAAATCAAGAAAATCATTTCCTTCTCTCTTTCCTTCTCTCAAAAAATGGACAGCCCAATAATTATCAAGTTTGTTCCAATTGTCTAAAAGAGTTGTAGTAGTAGCAATTGAAGTAATAATAATATCATGGTGATTTTTCAAGAACCCTAAATATGACTTTGTTGTCTTATTACTATTACTATTTTTAAAATAAGAGATAATGGCTAGAAAGATTGAAAATAGTAAGATTGAAAGATTTGAATAATTATTAATATTATAATTAAAATACAATTTACAAGATTTACCATTTTGACCAATGTAGTTTTCAGATGTGCTCATATTAAAATTGTGGTTTTAAAAATTAAAAAAATTGTGGTAAAAAAATTGTGATGAGAGTTTAATGTCTTAAATAAAAAAAATCTTTGTGGATAGTATGACTCAGACTGACACATTGAAACATCAAAGTGAAAAAAAATTGACACTACATTTATAATAATCAAATCTATTCTTTATCATATTGACAAAGACCAACAAGAACTTAATCATTTTGCCAAATATGGTATGATAAAATTTTGTTTAAAATCATATCATTAGAAATTAGTCATATATAGCTTAAGAGATTAAAGATTCATTTTAATTTCAGTAATTTTGTTTAGTAAATGACTCAACTTTTATCAGTCTGACACATTGATACGCGTTTTAAAAGATGATACATGTTGTACACGATATATGTACAGATGTTACAAATAATATGTATATTTTGACAAATGCTTAGATTTATTGACTGCGAATGTATTTAGCATCAAAAATGAAAATGAGTAAACTATGTTTACTGACATTTGCTAAATTAAATTTGTTTAAAAAAAAATTAATTATAGTATTTTAATGTAATTATTACTGTAGTATTACGTGATACATATCTTCAATTTTTCTTTTATCGCGTACAGTACTGTAACATTTATTTCTTTATTATTTGAAACACTTCATAATCTTCTATAGCAAATTCACCTTCACTATCTCTTATCTTTTTTTCATAAAACCTTTTACAATACTTAATGGTGACATAATCTGTATAATGATTTAAAGCAATTATATTAATATCGTTACCAAAATATGGACCAGTTGTATAGCTGAACCATAATGCACGATCAGAATTTACTACTTTGTTCAAAATTGCATCTTTAAAATTCTTATTATTTTCAAAAGAAAAAATAAAACTATCTTTTGTTTCACCCCAAATAACAGACGATTCCCATTCTAATGGATTATATCCACCAATGATTTCTTCTGTTCCTTTTACTTTAATAAATGTAACAGTATTAGGTTTATTATCACATAATTCATGAAATTTTTTAGGAGTAAATCCATCTCGACTTCCTCTTAATAATAATTCAAATTTATATGGTAAATATGATTCATTAAAATTGTCATCATTAATAACTATTTTATCTATCCATCTTGAAATAGTTGAAACAATACCAGAATTAATGATTAGTGAACAAATAACTTCTTCAATCTTTTCATTAATTTTAATTTTTCTAGGAAGTTGAATGTTATGAGATGTTACACTATCAGGATCTAAATAAAAGTTTAATAAATCTTCATAAAGTTGTTGATTTAGGAGTTTTTGATATGGACGAACTTTTTGTGAAAATTCTTTTGGTGATAAACTAAAAAATCTAACGAAAGGTAAACAATGTTGTAGAGTATTACTCATTGTTTTAAAATCATCATCAGACCAAGTTTTAGGATCTAGAATGAGAGTTGGATTTTGGGCAAGTCCCCATTTTAATACATGTTCCCATACTTCAACTTCTTTCATTTGTAAATCATCATTTTTAATAATCAAAGTTAAAGATTTTCAGGAAGTGAAATAAAATTTAATGATTTAAGTACTTTTTCGGAAGACTGAACCATTAAATTTGTACAAAATTCTTGAAGTTTGAATAAATTATTAGAATTTGAGCTAATTTGTTGAGAAAATTCAAAATATTGTTCTAGCTGTTCGAATTTATTTTCAATTAAATATCCTTGTAAATAATCAACTAGCTCTTGAAGACTAAGCTTATCTGCAGTAGCCAAAACTTTAAGAAGGTCTGAAGTGTCCTTTTCATCCAATGAAAGGATACCTCCATAAATATACCTAATTATAAAAATAAAAATTATAATTTGAATGTTCAAAAGTTATGCATAGCATAATATTTAACTTACTCTAATACAATTTGAAAGATTTCCGGTGATGTGTTTGATAATTTAATATGAGCTAAAGCGTTATCATTGTTCTTATTGTTGGACTTTATTATTCGTCGTAAATACGGAGAACGGTAACACAAAATATTCATATGAGCACGAAATATTTTTACGTCAGGGTCTTCACCAACTTCAATTGTAATATCATAATATTCATCATCTTTTAATAATTCAATATAATTTTGACTTAATTTCGAAAAAAATCGAGTAACCATTTTTTCTTTTTTTTTTAAAAAAAAAAAAAATTATTTATAGTTTGTTTCAGATATCATATATGGTTAAGCAGTACGTACGCCAACTTGCAGATGATGACAGTCTTTACTTCCAAAATAGGAACAGTCTACCTCTCTATAGTTAAGATAAATTGTAATTTATTACAAAGGATAAAATTATTTCATTTGTACTACTATTACAGAAATTTATTAAAGGACAAAAAAATGGAATATATTAATTATAACAAATTACATTAATTGTGATATTTTCGTTTAGATGAATATAATTCATTCTCTTACGCTTTACATGTAAATTTTAATTTAGATATATTTTTCATGATAGAGTTTCCACTTTAAAGTCCGAAATTCGAATATCTGAAAATTATATAATATGTAAATTCTATCTCAAATTCTCAGTGAATGTTTATCGAATCTCACATGATATTCAAATCTCAAATGAACATTCGAATTTATAGTTTTAAAGTATTTTAATATTACAGTATGTGTGATTGTGTGTGTTTAGACTATTTTTCTTTTACATATTATGGATTTTATTATAATTTTATTTATTGGATGAAAAAATTAAAAAAATGCATTTTGCATTGTATTTTACGATCGAAACATTTGAATCTCAGTATATTTCGAATTTCGTAACAGATTCGAATCTCAAAATTCGAATATCCTAATTTACTTAATTTATAAATGAACATTTGAATAACCCAATTTCAAACGGAATCTCTATTTAATAACGAGAGTTAGTTACGTAAATATAGCAATAATTTATTGATTTCTTTGTTACAATGATACATACAATGTGTACCATAAATACTGTACAGTATTTATTCTAATTTTGCCACAAATAAAATTCATCCTTTAAATACTACATTTTATTTCTTTATTATTTGAAACACTTCATAATCTTCTATAATAAATTCACCTTCACTATCTCTTATCTTTTTTTCATAATAATGCTTCTTACATTGAGCGACATCATAATCTGTAAATGCATTTTGAGCGCCTATAATGATATCATGGCCAAACTTTGGTCCAACTTCAGGGTGATTAGCTATTGCATGCCCAGAAATTTTTATATAACTCAAAATTGCATCTTTAATGTTATTCTTATTTTTAAAAGAAAAGATAAAACTATCTTTGGTTTCACCCCAAATAACAGAAGATTCCCATATTACAGGATTATATCCACCAATAATTTCTTCTGTTCCTTTTATTTTAATAAACGTAACAGTTTTAAGTCTATTATCACATAATTCATGAAATTTTTTAGGGGTAAATCCATCTCGGCTTCCTTTTAACAATAATTCAAATTTATATGGTAAATATGATTCATTAAAATTGTTATCATCAATAGTTATTTTATCTATCCATCTTGAAATTGTTGAAACAATACCAGAATTAACGATTCGTGAACAAATAACTTCTTCAATCTTTTCATTAATTTTTATTTTTCTAGGGACTTGAACGTTTTGAGATGATACACTATCAGGTTCTAAATAAAAGTTTAATAAATCTTCATAAAGTTGTTGATTTAGGAGTTTTTGATATGGACGAACTTTTTGTGAAAATTCTTTTGATGATAAACAAAAAAATCTAACGAAGGGTAAACAATGTTGTAGAGTATTACTCATTGTTTTAAAATCATCATCAGACCAAGTTTTAGGATCTAGAATGAGAGTTGGATTTTGGGCAAGTCCCCATTTTAATACATGTTCCCATACTTCAATTTCTTTCATTTGTAAATCATCATTTTTAATAATCGAAATTAAAGATTTTTCGGAAAGTGAAGTAAAATTTAATGATTTAAGTACTTTTTCGGGAGACTGAACCATTAAATTAGTACAAAATTCTTGGAGTTTAAATAAATTATTAGAATTTGAGCTAATTTGTTGAGCAAATTCAAAATATTGTTCTAGCAGTTCGGACTTATTTTCAATTAAATATCCTTGTAAATAATCAACTAGCTCTTGAAGACTAAGCTTATCTGCAGTAGCCAAAACTTTAAGAAGGTTTAAAGTATCCTTTTCATCCGATGAAAGAATACCTCCATAAATATACCTAATTATAAAAATAAAAGTTATAATTTGAATATTCAAAGTTATTGTATAACATAATTTTTAACTTACTCTAATATAATTTGAAAGATTTCCGGTGATGTGTTTGATAATTTAATATGGGTTAAAACGTTATCATTGTTCTTTTTGTTAGACTTTAATATTCGTCGTAAATATGAAGAACGGTAACATAAAATATTTTTATGAGCACGAAATATTTTTACGTTGGGATCTTCACCTACTTCAATTGTAATATCATAATATTCATCATCTTTTAATAATTCAATATAATTTTGACTTAATTTCGAAAAAAATTGAGTGACCATTTTTCTTTTTTTTTTTAATAAAATTTTTTTTTTTTTTTTTGGCGTTCAGATGACATATATAGTAGGTAGTGCATACGCCAACTGCAGATGATGAAACCATTGAAACCTCGTCACGTCACGACGTCACGTAAATCACATGATAGTGTTTAAATCATGTGATGTTTAATTTTCCAGATTTTGGCACTCGAATTTTTACAAAGAATACATAATTTTTTAATATAACTTTTATTGTTTTATTCATTAAAGAATATATTTAAAAATTAATTGAATTTTATTAAAAACTTTTAAATTTCGTTGTACACATTTTTTTATTATTCTCAATAAAATGTATTTTTATTCTTATCTTTCCATGATCTCGGCATTGTTAATCGTTCATATTCTTCTATTTGGCTCAATAAAATTAGCCACAATATTTTCTAACTATTTTTTCTTTGAGTCAGAAATAGGGAAATTATTTATTTTATATATTAGTTTTTAGTCATCTAATAATGTCTTAATGGATTGTGAAGAGTGTAGTAAAACTGTGAAAATCAAATCAATACTTCTACAAGTTCTTGTCAACTAAATTGTAATGATAGATTTTGAGAGTAAGGGATAAGTCTCTTTCTTCGAACCTATACATTAAATAATGTTTAATATGATGAAAAATGACTAATAGACTACTAGACCAGTTGTCTCTAATAATAATAATAATAATAACAACATTTGTAACTAAAAAAAAAAATTACTTTTTATCTGTTTACATCGTCTGATTTTTCTTTTTATGACTATAAATTAAAAAAAAAATGCTAAATAATATTTAATAATAATAATAATAATAATATTAAAAAAATGTAGAAAGTCGCTCAAGTAATATGGCATTTCTTGGTTATAATAGTTTCTCTATGAGCTTCGGCTGTGATTTATTCTCGTTTTTTATCGTTTAGAAACTCGTTATTTTTCTACAATCTTTACACGAAGTCTTTATTTCATTATTTTCACCTAAAAACTTAATATTGTCTTTTGTTTGGCAGCACACTTTAAAAAACGATTTATATTCATTTGTATTCTCTGACATTGTCTTATGTTTCGTTTTACAAGAAAAAGATTGGCGATGCGGCCGATACGTGGTCATCAAAGATGATGATCCAAAATAGGAACAGTCTCTCACCGTACAATCACGTCATCACACCATATAAACCCTCATACTTTTCCATATACTTATATGGCTATGCAAAAATTCTCCTCTATAATCACAATGTTAAAAAACCCTCTATATATAGTCACTTTCATTAGTTAATCTGCAGGGGCAAATAAAAAGAAAAAATATATTCAATTATTTACGCTTCCTATTTAGTTTAATTCTTAAATTTCTTCAAAATTTTAGCTCAGAAAAATCTTGTCACCATTAAATTTCTGAAATCACAAGTTATCATATCTGATATCTTTAGTTCTTTAACGAATTTGGTATGCAAGAGAAGTGTGAATATTACATAATAAAACATTTACTTTCAATAGACTCTCTATTAAATGTAGTTATTAAAATTTTTTTGTTCCTTATCTATCCATCCTTTTTTTAATTTGATTGTAATTATAATTTATTTGTTAATTTTATTTTAATTAACAGTTATCTGTTATGTTCTTATGCATATTTCATTATAATTATCATGAATATGAGCGATCATATTGAACGGGTGTACTGGTATATCCATATATTGTTATTATTAAATAGTGAGAAGCTCATAAAATAAAAATACAAGTTTAATAAATATTTGCATAAATATTTAATTTTAAATGATCATTCTTATCTAAAATTGGATTCAAATAAATATTTTATAAATTATTTTGGACAATTAACACAACCTATAAATCTTTGTACAAGTTATGTAAAAAAGAATTTGAGAAACATCGCGATCAACAGAGATCTACAGTATAAGCAAAATATAAAAATCTGTATAAACCAATAAGAAGCGTCAGTCTAGATGAATCTAAGCATAATGTAATCCATCATTTTATCATAAATTACACGTGAAAAACATAAGAGTTACATCATTCTGAATATTAATAATATCGCTTTTCATAACATAATATTTTTTATTCGCCACTTCAGTGATGATAACATTTTTATATTGTTCATAATATATAAATTTACAAATTTTAAGTAACGAACAAATTTTTTAAACTAGTAACCAACTGATACAAAGTATGTACAGTATAAATTCGATAATGGAAAGTTACTAATATAGAAATATGTAATAAAAGAATGCGAAAATCTTGTATTAAACGACATAAAGAAATATGTAAGAAATGAAGAAGAAATTACCACCAAGAAAATTAATTCAGTGTAAAGTCTGTAAAGAATATTCATTTGTCGGAGAAAGAATAGTTTTGATCCGTTGTTTGAACGGATATTAATATTTGGATGATCATTCAGATTTATGGATAAAGAAAGACTGCAAATTTAAATGGTTTAGTAGGTCGTCATTAAGCCAATGAGATAAAATTTAATAATTTATTCTTGTAATGTAATGTTGTAGTAATGGATTTAAAATCCAAGTATCCGTCGGATATCCGAAGAATGCTTATTCTAAAATTTTTGTTTCAACCATTTATTCGTAACTGTAAATTG